GGGTGCTGCCCCGGTGGTGCTCCCACCCGCGGAGTTGAGAGCTCTGTGCGGGTCCTTGTCTTTTCCTACCGAGTAGCCCTGTATTTCAACGCAAAACCAGAAAGTTTTGAAAACTTGCCGGCGACTCAAGGAGCGGAACAAACATCTGTGAGCCGTCACCGTACGGATTATTGCATTCCCCATATAATGTTAAAAATCCTCTAAGATTGTATTTAAAAGGTGCTTATTTAGAGAAATGAAAAAGGCTGTTCTTTTATGTATGGAGCAAACCCCGACACGCATATAAATTGCCGCACGCTTTTAGTTCAGGTTGTTTCCGACACCTTCCACCAGCTGAAAACCGTGTACTAGAGGCCAGATTTTCACTTTCTGCTGTATTGAATGTAACGTATTGATCTTTATGCAGATGCAGCGCTAGCATTCATTCGAATGTATGCCTGCTGATCTGAACGGAAAAATAACTAAGACATGTATGTTTCTGTGATGAGGTGCTGGAATTGGCATGTCTGCCAGCGAGACAAAGTGATTTAACAATTAAACAGTCGAATTGTTAGCTTTTGGGATTCTTCAAAAAATCTAATTACAAGAACCATAAAACTTGATTACAGTGTTATTTGAGGAAAGGAATTATGTTCTTTTTGATAAAAATTCAGTTGGTTATGAGAAAAATATTTCTCTTTTCATGGGGTCATGCAGAAAATGAGAACAAAGTAACATGGGTTTTTTCCTCAGTATAAAGTTGACCAAAGTATTGTGTCTGCTCAGTTACCAGAAATAAACTGCATCCAGAAAGAATGAAAGCTTATGTGTAATTTCTATGTGGAATTTGGATATTGTTCTGTTTTTAAAAAAGAGCTGAACATACCCTGATCTTTTGATGTCTAGATAGTTGTCTGCTGTTGTCACACCAGAGCCAGCAGGTTTGAGACAGTAATTCTTACAGGCTTTACTTTCTCTGGCTGTAAAGATATTAAGTGGGCAGCTAGGAAAACTTAGGCACATGATTATCTATTTTTTGAAAGACTCAAATTTCCTTTCAAAGGTTCTTTTAGAAAATGCACAGCATGCTGCACTGGTGTTATTTTCAACTGTTGGAAGACCAGAAGTTAAACATCCTCCTTAATATCACATTATATAAAATCAAATTGACAAGATACTGCAAAGTAATGGTGTATTTTCAGTAACCAAAAGTACCGAAGACCTTCTAAAACTCCAGTGCATGGTATATTTAATAGTACAAAGTTATTTAAAAAAAGAGAGACTAAATTTTATACAATTGCATGTTGTTAAATGCATAGACTCGGGCAAATTCAAGTAAAGCGTTAATAGGAGTGGTGGCTGGTACGCTGTCCTATCCTGAGAGTTTTAACTCGTTTGAAAACAATGATTTCCACTGCAACCTGATGCTGTTACTGTTATGTTCTTGCAAACTGATTTAAGTACTTAAGTTTCAGAGGAAGAAGCTCTTTCAAGCAAATACTTGTGCTTATGACATCTGTGATTTGCATGTAAAGAATTATCTTGCTGAATCAGTCAAGTGACTTTCATGCTGAAGTGCCTGCTGGATGCTATTTGAGAGCGCAACTGGCTAACGCTTTGGCTCTAATTTGAGGAATGACAACTTAAAGTGATTTTTCTGGTATGGATGCTAAATGTTATGGGTGAGAAAAGATGATCAGTTACTAGAGTGAATGAATACATCTGCCTCCCCAGAAACAACTGAATGCAAAGTGAATGAAATTGTAATTTTAAATGTTCCAATATTTTAACATAGCAAAAGCAAATATGAAAATTGGGCTGAAAATACCCTTTCATTAATTAAGTGGCTAAGCACACTTACAAATGGTAAAGATTTGCCAATTTTAGGGATCTCGTTGCTTATTGGTAATTTTTTCTTCTGCCATGAGCCCCAGAATTACCTTTCCAAAGGCTGCTGCCTCCTGTTGCATGTAGCCTTTCTGTCCAGTGGGATGCCTCTGTAGTCTGCAGTTGAATATTGCATTTAAAGCATAACAGAATTAGTTATAGGAGCTGGAAATAAAACACAGCTTGATAAAATTATTCTCGAAAGGAACTTGTGAAACTTGGGTAAGACTGGGGAAAAGCATGATTATCCCCTGGTATATGGGCAAAAAAGGGTAGCGGTGTGTGGAGCAGGGTGGTGCCGGCGCTCGGCACCTTCCTGGCACGGCTGCAGGACAGTGAAACACAACCTCAGTATCACCCTATGAAACCTTTAGGGGGGTTAAAAAAATCAGAAAAACCTTATAAAAACTGTTCAGTATTTTAAGCACTGAAGTAACACGATTCCCTAATCTTTCACTGAGAGTCATGCAACTGTTTATTTTTCTTGTTGTAGGGTCTTGTTTTGGTTTTTTGTATGAGGTCTCTAACAGTCTTCAAGAATTGGAGTTAACAGATATAAACTAACAAGATGGCAGTAGTTAGGGTAACCTTTCTAGGTTAAGACTGTCAAAAAATCTTCCTGAATTTGGTATCATTTTTCAGAGGAACGTGGGATCATATCACACATCAGTTTCTGACAAACCATATTTCTAAGAACGTAAATCCTCTACATGCTGTTACATACTGTAAAGATTTGGGCCATTATTGTAGTGCTTGGATTGCATTTAACAACAAAAAAAAAGAAGCTTCCTAAAAAATGAAGTAGTTGCATTGATACGCTTTCCTCCCAATACATAGCCCCACAGCTCTGCCCTTGAAAGCATACTGAAGTCCTGGTTTATACACAAAATTAGTATCTGCGATCCCTCTCCCACCTTACACGGGTGCATTCATGACTGTACGGACTTGGAAGTTAACCTTCGCTGAATTCTGAAACAGGCCTCCTCTGGTCTCCAAAATACGGACTCTTTGGGCTGGGGTTGAAGTCTGATACGGTTTCTTTGCATCTCTGCTTTTTCAGTGCTGAATTTTAGCTTCCCACGTGTGGTGCAAGATAACAGCACTGCAAAGCGTGTGGAAACTGCTCACGTTCATTAACAGCATCTACAGTCACTTGCAGTCATTGCTAACAGACCAGAGCCAGACCTTGTTAGGACTGCTTTAAATGCAGAAGATGGTTCAGACTGTTCTGAGCAAACTCTCTGAAATCCACCCCCCCACTTTTAAAAGCAACAACTGCCTCCTTTGCACACGGGAGCTGCCCCCCGGGTGGTGAGGAGGTACCTGCGGCAACTGTGGGACCCCCACCAGCGGGAAGGGGGACAGGGATGGCCAGCTGGCAGTTCACCAGGGCTTTGCCAGAGTAGCTGGCCCGCGAGGTCCGCCCGCCCCTCCGCACTGAAGCAGATGTTGCTCTGTGTTGATGGAAGCTTTGGGGCTTTGGTTCAGCTCAGTTCAAAGAAACGCAGCTGTGCCTCAGAATGGAAAGGAAGGTCTACAAAAACTTGCAATTGCGAAAGCCTGAAGCAAGCCCCCCGCCCTGGCGCTACTCTGATAACGTGTGTGGCAGAAGTCACGTCCCCATGCCCTGAGGAGCTGCTGTCACTTTGGCCTGCTGTGGGGACCCTCGGCTGCTCCCACCTGCATGCCTGCTGCCACATGGGCTCTGGGACTCCGGCTTTGCTCACCCACATCCCCGCTGCGGCAGCCCCTCCGCATCCACGCCACACGCTCTGATCCCGCCAGGTGATGGGCGCTTGCTACATGCCTCCTACCAAGCAGCTCTTCAGCATTAGACATGAGCCTCCCCCCTCCTCGCCTGCCCCAGTTCAGTTAGAATTAGACAAGGATTAGTCCACCCAAATACACACGAGGTTAGAGAACAGCGTATGCAGCGTATTACTTTTGGTTTCTTGTGGTATTTCAACATCTTATGTTCTCGGTCATCTCACAAGCTGATGTTCTTTAATGTTCAAAATTTGTCACCAGTGCCTTACCCCCTCCACAAAGGAGGAAAATAGTAGAGCCTGCTCTTTCTGCTGTTTGCTCAATATGTGCTCACAGCCAACAGCCAAGGACAGCATCAACCACCCAGCAATTCACTTGACACAACCGCAATCTTCTTGCAAGGACGGAAAGGTGTTGGCCTCTCACTTTCCCATGCCCCAACCAGGTGCTAAGGTCTTTCAAGCCACCAGAAATAGGAGGAAAGCAGCACACCAAACTGTTCAAGCCGTAAGTTAGTAACACAAAAGGCTCAAGTTTACTTGTTTTGGCATGCCAGCTACTGGAAGCACAGCCTACCAGGTCTTCTAGAATCTATTTAGAGCCCCCAATTACTTTTCCCTTTGGCTGCCACCTAGTATATCAAATTTTTACAGTGGAATTACAATGTCCCCAAGACATAGGCTTATGTAATGGAAACAAAGACCTACATGAACTGGGAGTTACTGTACCAAATAAACCATTTCCTTCAGTAAGGGTCTTATTTTGCAGTTAGCAATCACTCAGTCATAAAAGGGTGGGCTCAGAATTAATTGTTGCTAAGGTTTACAAATTCACCTTTTTTCTGAAAAATACAAGTATGGGGTGACTTTTCCAACAGTACAATACAGAATGCACAAATTATTGCACTGCTTTATAGTTAACATTTATTGCATGTCAGTGGTTCATGGCCTGGTAAGAAAGCCCGTTACTGTACACTTTGGTTGACCTCCTGCCCAACAGCTGGAACTGAAGATGGGTGCTGGCCACATAGAATGATATGTCAGTGAGCTAACAAACTATCAGCATACAGAGTTGGCTAAAAGATGCAAAGAAAAATAACACTTAATGGCCGCTGGCCAAGGGAAGCAGAACACATGAACACGGTGGGGCTGGAGCCTGAAAGACAGTGAAGTGCAGGAAAACGGCATCAACTTTGCCGCCTGGTGCAAGAGTCAGGAAGGATCCTGGACGCACCTGGCAGAAGCCGGCATAGAGCAGTACGTAACTTCTACTTTTCTATTCTAACCTCCACATCAGGTACTGTTCTTCAGCTGGCCGTCTATATTGGTGCACACTGTTTTCCAGAGGTCCTACAGGGTTTAACAACCTTCAAGGATAACAACCCAGTTTTTAGAGTTTCTCCGCTCTGCAAAAAATCAGAAGGCCTAAACCCAGCATTTGGAAGTGAAATGCTTCCATAGAGCACATGGCCAAAGGCTTTAGCAAACCAGTTATTTCTGTGATAACTGACAGAGAGAGTGAAAGATTGTTAATTCAACAGCGCTGTTAAAAAAAAAAACAAACCAAAACATTCTAAGGTTTTGTTCTCTGTGCTTCTGTGGCATTAAACCTGTTCACAATTCTGTTTAATTACCTTTTTTTCTGGTAAACGTCCATGAGAGTGTTACTACTTAGAACAGAGCAGTATTTATATCTCTTACAAAGAGCATTGCAATTATTATTCAGTTTGCCATTTGCTTTCAAATGCCTTAGTCTATATCACGATTTCAGCAAAAATATCAAGATTGCTTTCTGTATCATCCTCAGGCTCCAATTCTTCATTGTGATCCTTTGGAGAGGTGTGTACATCTTGTTCTTGGATGGTCTTTCTCTTTCTCCTGTGAATGTACACAGAGCGATTCTTCTCCGTCTCCTCAGAAGGCGAGTTGTTTGCACTGACAGCAGCTTTCAAAGCTAACTCTAAGCATTTGTAGAATCTAGAAAGAAACAATTGCGTAGTTATTATTTTTGTAGGTTTGCTCAGGATCTGTAAAACTACTCTGAGAAACTAATGCTTGTGTAATATAATCAAAACGTGCTAAGAGAAGAAAATCGTTACTAACATTGAAATGTTCTAGCCCATACTGGAAGAAAAATTAGAAATATCAGCAAGTGTCCTTGCATGTGCCATGCCACTTCTCTTTGTAATGCCTGTACGTTAGAAATCCATTAGTGGATGTACTCATGTGCCATTAAGACCCTGTTAATCTTACAGAAACTATAAAATGGTATCAGGTTAAACGTCTGATAAATGATAGCATTAATGATCAGATGGACTGCTACTGTTAGCAATTGCTTTTAACTTTAACAACTACAGAGATTTTCAATGGACATATAAAAAGAAACTGGTCTTAGTACATGTAGGCATCTCTCCAGCGTCCTTTTGATCCTCATGCTTTTTGGCTTTTCAGCTCTTCTGCCTATTCTGTTCCTCAGTGGGAGACAAATGTAAAGACATCAGGTGTGTGTAACCTTCCACCACCTTCATAAAATCATCAGTTTTGGAAACTATACAAAGCATTTAGTGGATTAAAGTGTGCACTGCAATCTGAATACTTCTGAAATGGTTACTGTGTTAAGAGTAACAAATGCTGTTATCATTAGAAAAAGAAACTTAAACCCTACTCAGTAACAAAGACAGTCTGCAAACTCATGTTGTTTATAGGTTTTTGTTTAAACAGTTTATAGTCTTCAGAGCTCAAAAAATTAATTGAAATTGTATTTTAGACTTTGGGGGGGTTGTCTGGTTTTGGTTGGTTGGTTTGGTTCTTTTTTTTACATAACCTCTCTCACTTTTGGATTTAGATGTCATGAATAGGATTGGTGTACTCTTACAAACCTGTCAATCCTCCTTGTGTTTTCTTCCATTTTTCGATTAGCTACATGTATCAGAAATTCAATATATTCTTCGGAGACCATCAATTTCCCCTTGTGGCTCAATGGAACTTCTAAGCAATGAGTGCTCCGGACAGCCTAAAAACACACACGGAAAGATTTATCTAGAATAAAGTTTTTTATTTTATGAAGGTTATTTAAATAACACGGGGAGTTCATTACAGGGAAAAAAAAAAACCACCACTTATCCACACAATTGGTTAGTCTGCTGTCAACTAAAGCAGAAAGATATTTCTTTGCTACAGCATGCCCTGTGATAGCTGTCAATCACATTACAGTTCAGATCTTAGCTTGTAAAAAAATCAAGGTTAACAGTAATGATATGATTTTATTACATTTCTTACAGGTAAGTAGAAAATTCCTTACCATCATGATTTTTCCTCCTCTGCCAACGGTAATACCAGAGTTCCTGAACCCAGAATCAATAGCCACTGAATGCTGCAGAACAAATAAATGCCTTAAACAGGTTTTATACACTTTCACAACAAGAAATAATTATGGATGGGTTGCAATGCAGTTTATAATCTCAGTTTTGAAAAAAAACTTATTCAAAACCATCTCCCCAAATTAATGCAATAATAGTTACACTAAAATGTTTTTAAGATCAAACCCATGTTGTATCACAAATCGTGGTTGGTTTTCAAAGAACTATAGTCAATCTTGATTGTCTAATCTTAATCCATTAGTGCAGATGGGACATTAACGTCTCTCTGGGCACTGTACTATTTTATCTTGAAGAGCCGGTAACCATATAGACAGTCGTGCAACACTTTTATAGCTGAAAGTGCAGCAGTACTATAAAAGAAGCTAATCAACTCTCTTCTACATTAATGAAGGAACAATGCATGCATCATGCATTACTCTCCAGTGTCATTCTGGAAAAGCAGAAGGCAAAGGTACTACTCAATTAGTTGAAACACTGGAGCCAAATGGCCTGGCTGGTAGCAAAATGACATCTAAAAAAACCCATCACTTTCAGCCAGTGAAAGCAACCCAGGCTCACTGGGAAAAATTTTTTACCAGGCAACCTGCTTCAGCTTCAACACTGAATTGTAGTTGAGTAATTTTGTTTTCTAAGTACAGCAAAATCTCTACTAAGTTTAAAGCTGTGTTTTCTTCATCAGCTTACTTTTACTACCCTAGTTATTAAACACACAGCACATCTGGGACTATTCCTAAGTGCTAAAGCTTACTCAGGAGCCAGCACTTTTACAGCAAGGAATATAACAGAACAACAATGTAACATTGTTACTTGATGTAATTTTACCAGAAGCTGTGCATCTTGCAGCTCTTGACATAGCACATGAAGAACAAATGGCTCAAACTTGAGCACAACGTCACCAGTGGCTTTCCCTAGTGCTGTCATCTGGAAAATAAACCAAAATATTTATATTAATACTGCAAGTGTGTACTGTTACTGCAAAAAAAAAAAAAAGAAAATAATAGCTAGTCAGTGTGTGAAACAAGCATTAACAATGCAGCAAATGAGTTCCAAGCAATCAGGTTTGTTCAGCTGCTTTTCGTTTTTCATTGCTTATAGCACATAGAAATTCCATGGATTTGCATGATTCTGTTCGCTAAACTGATTAGGTTTGATAGAAATTCATCGCAAGGTAGACTTTAAAAACTTGAAAAAGTGCACTTCCCTGTTTATTTCTTTGTACATTCAAACGAATCGATACAGTCAGTACAGCAAGGGAAGAAGACTGTTTTAATGCAATGACATGAAACCTAAGCAGGTTTTTTTAGTTGTTTGTTTTTTTTTTAAACTGTTCTTTAAAATCAAAGACATTTAGTTTCTGAAGTACATTCCTCAACTTCAGAAACTTTCTGGGGTTCAGCACATTAAATTCATGGCCTAATGTACTTGATCACACTTTAATCCTACTTTAAATAATAATGCATAGCCTAATGTATAAGACTTATAAAGATAAAAAATTCAAAGGTTGAAATTAGAGGCATAAACCCACAAGACGAGAAAAAAAAGAGGTAACAGTAATTATAAAATTCAAGAAATTACCTTCAGACCCCTCAGTTCTCTAAGGTCCAATATTACTTTCTTCCATTCAGAAAGGTCACTTTGAGGCAGTTATATTACCTACTTAATTGTATGATTATTTAATCATAAGCACTATTTGCTCCCCCTTCTTGTTTGCCTTCACTTGCTTAATTCACAGCGCTAAAAAATTTGCTATGTTAACTTGAGAAATTTCAGCTGTTTTCCCATACTTTGTTGTTTTGTCTAGCCCTTCTCATCTTTCTTTTAAAATGAAAATATTCCATAAAATCTTCAGGAAATAATCAAATTCATATGTTTTTTTAAGACATGATGACATAAAAGAAAACTGCTGAAGTAACACTCTCTCCTTTCCTTTAAACATTGAAAAGTATTTAAATGTATTTATGCAGCATCTCCTCCATAAATATTCTTATTTTAAGTTGAAAGCAGGTTTTTCTGAATGGCTAAGTTTGTAATTTGTGCGCCAGATTTTAAAAAATGCCCAAGTAACCACAGCTGTGCTAAAGCTGATGAGAAACAGAAACGATCAACATTGCATAATGCAGTGTTGTACAGAAATACCTAAGCTAGCTTATTTAGCATTTGCTTGGGCCTGGAAATGAGTTGTGTTGACACAGTGCTCCACTGCGGTGAATTCACCCTGCCTGAGAGTGTGCTAGCACGGTCAAACAGCTTCCTTATCCAAAGCCGGGCTCTGCAGAGTTCGTGTGGTTTCTCTGTGCAGCACAGCACAAGGCTGGCTGTGTATACTCCTGAGGCCGCCGCGTTGTGTAGTGTTTGCTTGGGCTGTGCTGATTTCAGGAGGAACACAAATTCATGCGGCAGTCGGCATTCATGGTGCGTAACACAGGCTGGGACCTGCCACGGACGCGTGTGTTCCCTTTTCAGGCATGTTTCCACGATCCCTTTTCAGACGCTTTCCCATGTTTGAGAACTCTGTTCTGGCCAACATTCAGCAAAATGATCGGCATCCACTGTGGCAGCCAAGTTAGACAGACTTGTCTCCGACACAAGTATTGTAACAGAGAACACATTATTAGCTGCAATCAGCGTGTGTGATATCAGTGAGGGTGTTTTAAGGGTTTCTGTTTCTCTGACAAAGCTAAGTAATTTAGCAGATACTCTAGAGGTAGCTTTTCAACGAGAATACAACTAGTTAAGAAAGTCATGCTGACTGAAATCATCTCTGCCTGTTAGCACTGCCCCAAAGCTGTCTTACAATACTTGTCTCCTCAAAAAGCTTATTAATGGAACAAAATATTTTCAGTAAAGGTTTTTTATTATCTTACTGCATCTAAATCATTAATTTCCTGCAAACTCAATTTAATAGGGAAATACTGAAAGTAATTTTCTATTAAGTCTAATGGTCTGAGGCCCTGATTTGCTCCCAGTGAAGCCGATGGGAAAACACCCAGTGGGAATAGGATTAGGCCCCTCATCTCTAAAGAGTCAAAGTCTAACTGCTGTCATAGAATGACAGAAAGTACCTGCCGGTGATATGTAAAAAAACTCACAGAAATGAAAATCCCTCTATTCCAAACACAGGAGCAATCGCTAAAGTGATACGAAGCAGAAAACAGCCGACTGCATTTAACGATTGACCACGGCAGCACGTTTACAGTAACGCAGAACGCAGCCCTTGTTCTACAAAGAGCGTGTGTTGGTACTACAGCAAACACTTTCACTACGGCGCTGCACAGCTGCAGTCACGTTACTAGCTCGGGTATAAGTTACAGTCTGACGAGGGCAGCGCACAGCCCGCTGCGTTCAGCAAAACCTGCTCACGAGAAAGAGAGGAGATGACACCTCACTCATGAGATATGCTGTACTGACACTCAAGCTAGACATTTGGACCGTTTGTCAGCAATCTGCAAAACCAGCAGCTGACTGCATACCTTACAGGTCTGTCCACACAGACACGTGGACAAAACTATGTGTGCACAGGTCCTGGTAGAAGCGAATGGTCTGCACATGCACATCTTAAAGTATTAAACGGCAGCTGGCCAAATTCTGGTGTACATACATCCAAAAACCCAAAGTGGAAGGTGGTCGAGATTCACACCAATAGTGCGTCAAGGAAAAAAAGTACACCACGTCAGTTTTAAAAATATAATCTCATAATTACACAACAGTGTGTCATACCAATAACCTTGCAAAGAGATACTGCGTAATACATGATGCTTTTTCTCTAAGCATTGAGAGGATAAAGGGATAAAAATAATTTACAAAACAAATATCCTATGTTCATATTGTTGAGGTTAATATTCGCAGTGAGGTCAAATGATCTGACAGCCGAAAAGCACAACACACAGCATACAACATCCTGACTTCCCTTCTCATTTCCTAAATACCACACTAACAAAGCTTTATCATACATTGGAGTATAGTAGTTTAAAAATCAAAGACATTTTTCTTACACTTGCAATTCATGCATTAAAAAAAAATCCCGTCTACCTGTTAAAGGGAACAGGAAAAATTAGAGCATTTCCTCTCATAAGAGTCAGCAACAACCTACTGTGTCCTACTCAGTAGGTAAAAATCTGCTGATGAAAATTTCAGCAAGCTCTGCTTTGCTAGAACAAATACTAATGAAGACGAATATTTTGGAGGAGTTTTTCTGTGCATGCGTGAGAATGTATGCATATGGTAAAGTGAGCTATGAATTGAGTGAGAGAATTTAGACCTTGTAACCGCTTCTTTTTTGGGACAGACAAAGCAAAGGGATGTATGCAGAGAGCAGCCTATTTTGGCAACATACTGAAAAAACCCCACTATATACATATTTTTTTTTTTTAATAATTTCAGGGGATTTTAAGACACTAAATTAAAAATGCAGTATAAGAGATTCACTGTTACACTAGTTTCAGGTGTCTGTAAATGAAGAGCTGTTAGCACAGCAAGCTGAGCTCAAGACAGTTTTAAATTCAAGAGTTTTTTTTATCTCAGGACAGTTTTAACTGTCTTGAAGGAGTTACTACATACAAAATGAACACGCCCAAGGGCATGCTTACCTGAACACATCTACATTTAACGGAAACAAAGGAATTTGTTTTGGTTGCTTCTGGAACAGCTGACCAAAACAACAAAGCAAGAATGGCTATAATTTATGAAACGGTTAATGAGGACAACACAAAATATTTGTTAATCACAACTGACCCATTCTGAAAGAGGTATTACAATTACTGCATTAATGTGTATGTCAGGCTCTAACTGTTGGAGAACGGGATAAAGGCCACGTTATCCTGCATCTGTCCCCTGCAGGAATGTTGCTGCTCGAGTAAGCATCATCTCAGATGCTGCCTGACACAGAACTTTCACTAGGCAAATGCCTCGCTTCATACAGCAATTGTTACTTCGGTATTAACAAGGAGTGTACTGTTTTCATTTAGCCCAGCGTAATCTGCTAATGACTATGGCATCACTGTCCAAAGACCATGAAGTATTCTACAGAAATTAAGCTTATTTTACTTTTGGATAGGAAGGCTTTTAAATCAAATCTAGTCTCCAGCTGATACCTTGCTGGCAATCCAACAAGAAGGGAAAACAAAGAGCAGATAAAAAGCTGTAGAAATGAAAAACACATTGTTATACTAACAGTAATCTTTCAGGAAAGGAAGAACACTTGCTTAGAAAAGCATTATTTCTGCTTATTCTGAATAAGGAAAGGGTTTTTAAGAAATAAGAATCACTGTACCTTAGATTTGCAGAAATTGTTTTTCGAAAGACAGTCTTCTGCTACAGAAGCAGTAGTAATTACTGACTTCTTGTTGAGCTATTGTGATGCGAAGATTATGTGACTCCAGACAGTAAGAAATTACTCGAGTTTCATATTAGCTGCATTTACAACTATGTAGAGAATTTAGTGTTAAGCTTAAAAGCATTCTCTTCAAAACACGTCTTAAGAATTTATTAAGTAGAACGCCTAGAGAAAAGTTTATTTTGAAATTAGAGCGTCAACTCATCTCAATAACAGAAATAAAAAACCTAAAAATTTCTTTATTTTTTACATGACGTGTTTTCCATGACATTAGAAACATTACATTAACGAAATATAAAAGTTGTATCATATTGTCCTCTTACCACATCGTCTTTGACACACATTTCATGTGTTACCATGAGCCATGTGCAGTTTTTCTTCTGGATCTCACAGCTGTTTATATCCTAGTAATGAAGAGAAATGGTTAAACTAGCACTACAGACAGATGATGTTTGATCTTGTGCTTGTATAAAAAAATGGTCCCTCAGAGTAAATAAAATTGCTCTTAAAAAAGCATGTTTTCTTAACGCATGAAAATATATTTACATAAAATTAGTTTAAAACTGACTTATCTACGCTTTCATACATTCTCAGTCAGGTAAAGCCGTAAAACCGAGGTCTAGCATCAGAGAGATTTATGTCCCAGCAATCGCGATGAGAAACTGGAGCAGGGACAGCGAACCACTGAGCGCCGCTTTCAGCGCCAGCAGCCTTCTACCGCACCGTACACCAAAGCCTTCCACGTCAAACCCGCTTGCCTTCGGGGCTCCCAAACCGCGTGCCCAGCACGCTCCCGCTGCCACGCTCCCGGTTTCGCCAGCGCTGCGAGGGCGCGAACCCCTCCGCCGGCCAGC